GCCCTCGCGGAGGGGGCGAAGGCAGCCTCAGGGGCAGCGCCGAGTGGTGAGGCAGGGAGAGCGCCAGTCGGCGGCGAGCCTGGGGGGAAAGGGAGAGGGCGCGGCCTGCTCGGAAGGCTCGGAATGCTTCCGGCCTGGTGAGAAGTTTTCTGAGCGTTCTCCGAAGACGCAGTCGGCTTCTCAGAAGGCCCGAGGGGTTCTGAGAAGTCTCGTGGCCTTCTGGGAAGGCCCGCTCCCTCACTTTTCCCCTGGGCATGCCGCCGAGCTACTGGGAGGGGAAGGTGCCGATACCGCTGCTCGTCCTGGAGAGCTCTCGTCGCCACGGCTGGATTATTCTTGAGATGTTGGTCAGAACGCACCCTGGGAGAGGTCCAGGGGGTGGCGGTATGGGTACCCTCTGGTTTCCCCAGTTCGGGAGGATATGCTCAGGAGCCGGCAGGGAAGGCTTTCCAGCTTCGGGGTGCGCTCCAGCAGCTGAGCCTCCCGCCGAGGGCGTTCTGGGGGTGCCGGGTCGTCCCGAGCAGCCGCCGGAGACCCGAGTTAATCATGGCCCGAAAACCAGGCGACGAGGATCATTGGCTCAGGGGGGGGGAACCATCGACCCCCATTCTCCTGCTAACTGTCCTGCCCCACCAGGAGCGTGCGGGTTCGCCGTCGGGGGCCCATCGCTGACCTATCAGCAATGTATTGCCGATTCCAGCTCGATGCTTCCCCTCGGTGGTTCAAAGATGGGGTCCTGAGGGATGGGGTCCTGAGGACGAGGTGCCTCAGGCATTGCAAATCCACCTTTGAATCCCTTCCTATCCTTAGGACCCCGTCCTTGAGGACCCCGTCTTTGAACCACCGATCCCCCTCGAGCCAGTCCTTCCCCCCCCCCTCTTCGCTTCCCCTCACCAGCAGTAGCGATCCTGGCCGCGAGTAGGTCCCCGTATCCGGGGGCCACGTGCTGAGGAATGGCGGGTCGATCTGAGCGCGCGTCTCCGAACCCTTGCCTCACCCCGCGGCCGCCCCCCCTCTTTGCCTTCGACTATGGGGCCAAATTCGCGATCCTTTAGCCCGCCTTGCAGCTTCGAGTTCGCCGAGCGCCCGCCAGCGCTGCGAAGTTCAGGGCTTAGTTGGGGGCAGTTTGTTTCACCGTTTCCGCATCTGTGGTACGTGGTGCAATCGACGTGGTGCACTTGGTGTTTGTTCGCAGTGAATTGGCAACTCCACTGTTCGCGCAATCGTCGCACCCACCCACAAGAAACTTGGTTTGCAAAACCCATGTGGCAGCAATTGCGATGCCTTCCTGGTGCTTGCTGGCGCATCGCCGCGGCCGCGGAAGCGCGCTCACGCTCGTGCGCAAAGCGGCCAGCGAGTCTGGCGTGGCCGACGCGGCCGTGGTGGCGCCGACCGCTGGGGACATCCCAGCGAGCCTCACAGACCGCGATGACGCGCGTGGACTTCAGTGCGAGTCGGTGACTCGGGCGTGCGCGGCACCATGGCGACGACAACAGCAGACACGATGATGATTGCAGCGATGTTGTGACGACGATGACGATGACGACCTCGAGGCCAGTGACGGTGCCGATGCCAATCACGCCGGTGACGATGACAGCGTCCATGCGTCGGTGATGAAGGTTTTGGAACATGCTCGACATGCAAGCGCGGCCGACAAGCGCGAGTGGCCCGCATGGTATGACAGCCAAAACTCTGAAATGAGGACCTGTTTGAGTTCGAAGGGGGCTCAGCGTCTCTTGGGTCATTCCGTGGATGTGCCTGTAGCCCGTCTCGTGCACCAAGGCTCTTTCGGAGCCTACGAAAAGGTGCTGTCCCTTGTGCAGCGTTGCTTCTTGCAGCAGCTCGAGTGCATTTGACGGGTCGTGCCCCCCACCCCCCACCCCAGCACGCGCGCAATGGCGTTCGAACGATTTCGACATGCGCGCGCGAGAGGCCCGTTTGGTCGCATGTGATGAAACTTTCTAAGAGTTCGCAAGAGCGCTCGCAGATCATGTGTAAAATCCGGTTGCAAAACCATGTTTTCTTGTATTTCCTGGGGCGCTCGATTTCGAAATCCTTCGGATCGATTTCGGTTGTTCAAAACTCTGATTGGTTTCGGCATGCGCGCGCCTGCGCCTTTCGTCCCAATGATTGTGAGGGTTTCTGGAGCATTGATGGTTTCTGGTGAACGAGAGTGCGTGCATAGTGTTTGTTGCAAAGGATGGTGGAGGTATCGACGCCTGCTTGGCTGGGATGGGCCGGGCTCACATTTGGAATGGACGGTGGGGCAAAAACGTATGTAAATTGCGCATCCCCGGGGAGTGACGATAATCCCGCCTGTGGGGGGCGTGGCAGAGCCGACTGTATTGTCAGAAAGGAGAAATCACCCTGCCGAACTGGATGTTGTCAACTTCGCTGCTTGCGCAATCATCCCACCTACCCACCCGCAACATGGTATGCAAAAAACATGCGGCGGCGATCGCGATGACTGCGTGGCGCTGGCTGGCACATCGCTGAAGCCGCGGAAGCGCGCGCACGTTCGCGCACGCTCGCGCGCAGTGCGGCCAACCAGCCTGGCGCGACCCACGCGGCCGCGGTGGCGGTGACCGTTGGGCAGTGCCCAGCGCGTCTCGCAGGCCGCGCTACAGCGAGGGCACTTCACTGCGAGTCGGTGGCTCGGGCGGCCGCGGTATCATTGTGACGTCGACAACGGCACTAGCGATGCTGATGATAGTAGCGATGCCAGCGACGATGATGATAATGTCGACGGCGCGGGCAATCACGGCGCCGATGCTCACCAATCCGATGATGATGTTGATGATGATGATGATGATGATGATGATGATGATGATGATGATGATGATGATGATAATGATGATGATGATGATGATGATGATGATGATGATGATGATGATGATGATGATGATGATGATGATGATGATGATGATGGCATCCACGCGTCGGCGGTGAAGCTTGCAGCAGGGTTTTCACAGGCGCGCGCGGCTACATTTTGCAACATGGCTTTTGGGGTTTGGGGTTCGGTGTTTTGGGCGTGGTGTTTGGGGTTTGGCCCTTTGGTGCTGGGCGTTTGGTGTTTGCGGTGTGGTGCTTGGGGTTTGGCGTTGGGGGTTTGATATTTGGGGTTTTGGTGTTTTGGGGGTTGGTGTTTGGGGGTTGGTGTTTGGGGTTTGTTTGACGTTTGGTGTTTGGTGTTTGGTGGTCGGTGTTGGGAGTTTGGGGTTTGAAGTTTGGTGTTGGGGGTTTGGTGTTTGGGGTTTACGGTTTGGGGGTTGGGGTTTGGGTGTTGGTGCGTGGTGTTTGGGGTTTGGTGCGTGGCGTTTGGGTGTTGGTGCGTTGTTTGTTGTTTTTTTGTGGGGGAACCGGCAAGAGTCACGCCCGAAGAACCATTCGACTCGGCATTCGACCACGTTCACCCTGAGAACCAGCCGACTTTCCGGGGAACCAGCCGTTTTCCCGGATAGCCACATTTTGCCCCCCCCCCCTCCCCCCCCCCCCTTCCCAGAAAAAACAAACAAACAAAAAACACGCGCGAGGGCGCCCGAATTCGCAAGAGCGCGCGCCAACAAGTTTTGAAGAGCCACGTTTCAAAACCAATCGGATGCTTTCGGGCAGTCAGGTTTGATTCCCGTCGGGATTTTTTTGTTCCCAACCATCCTGTGGTGTTGGGTCCTCGTTTTGAAGAGACAGCGCCCCGCGTCCCTCACTCACTCACTCCTCCTCCCCCTCCTCCCTCTTCCCCCTCCGCGTCAGCCACGCCCAATTCGGCACAGCCCTCACACGTTTCGTGGCCCCAACAGGAGCTCCACCGAGGGCTCCAGTGGCTGCGTTCGCATGGCGGCACCGCGCCCATTTCGGCACACCCCTCACACGCTTCGTGGCCCCATAGGGAGCTCCACCGAGGGTCCCAGCGGCTGCGTTCGCATGGCGGCACCGCACCCATTTCGGCACACCCCTCACACGCTTCGTGGCCCCATACGGAGCTCCACCGAAGGCCCCGGTGGCTGCGTTCGCATGGCGGCACCGCACTCATTTCGGCACACCCCTCACACGCTTCGTGGCCCCATAGGGAGCTCCGCCGAAGGCCCCAGTGGCTGCGTTCGCATGGCGGCACCGCGCCCATTTCGGCACACCCCTCACACGCTTCGTGGCCGCATAGGGAGCTCCACCGAAGGCCCCAATGGCTGCGTTCGCATGGTGGCACCGCACCGGCACACCCCTCACACGTTTCGTGGCCCCATAGGGAGCTCCACCGAGGGCCCCAGTGGCTGCGTTCGCATGGCGGCACCGCACCAATTTCGGCACACCCCTCACACGTTTCGTGGCCCCAAAAGGAGCTCCACCGAGGGTTCCAGTGGCTGCGTTCGCATGGCGGCACCGCACCCATTTCGGCACACCCCTCACACGTTTCGTGGCCCCATAGGGAGCTCCGCCGAAGGCCCCAGTGGCTGCGTTCGCATGGCGGCACCGCGCCCATTTCGGCACACCCCTCACACGCTTCGTGGCCCCAAAAGGAGCTCCGCCGAGGGCCCTAGTGGCTGCGTTCGCATGGCGGCACCGCACCCATTTCGGCACACCCTTCACACGTTTCGTTGTTCTATAGGGAGCCACACCGAGGGCTCCAGTGTTGCGTTCGCATGGCGGCACCGCGCCCATTTCGGCACACCCCTCACACGGTTCGTGGCCCCATAGGGAGCTCCACCGAGGGCCCCAATGGCTGCGTTCGCACTGCGGCACCGCACCGGTACACCCCTCACACGTTTCGTGGCTTCATAGGGAGCTCCACCGAGGGCTCCAATGGCTGCGTTCGCATGGCGGCACCGCGCCCATTTCGGCACACCCCTCACACGCTTCTTGGCACCATAGGGAGCTCCACCGAAGGCCCCTGTGGCTGCGTCCGCATGGCGGCACCGCGCCCATTTCGGCACACCCCTCACACGTTTCGTGGCCCCATAGGGAGCTCCGCCGAAGGCCCCAGTGGCTGCGTTCGCATGGCGGCACCG